TAATGTGACTCTTTGACAACTCACATTGAGCTCCCTAGAGCAAGAACCAATGGGAAGGAGTTGTAAGAAGACAGAGCTGTCCCTTGTGTTGAAAGTGAACAGTTTGGGGCAATTTAAGGGGGGGCAGGCTGCCTGGGAAAGTGGCCAGACCCTGGGGAGCATCAGAGAGTCTGTGAGGAATGCCATGCCTGTCTCCAAGTGGGGGGCTGGATGATGGAGATTCTGTTGTAATAAACAAAGCAGCCCTACACCCTGCTGCCATGCCTGTAAGGCATGCAGATACAGAGGCTACCTCTAGGGTAACCAGCTTGGTCCAGCTGGCCTGGGTTCCTCTGGCTTTAGTTCTGAAAGTTAAATCCTGCCTCTCAGGAATCCTTCAGTCCGGAGCAAACTGAGATGTTTGATCCTAGTTAACTGTGGGCAGTTACAGAGAAAAAAGAGTTTTCATTGTGCATATTCATTAAGAGGTTATGAAATGGCTTTGTAGGGGAGTTGCTTATTTTGTCTAGGTGAAGACAGTCCTTGTACATTGGGGTCCCATTAGGAAATGGAGTTTTCATTAGGGAATTATTACTGGGAGATACGGATTTTCTTGGGCTTCACTTATTGAAAACTTTGCTATTTATTCTAATTTTGACTACTTCATGTCTCTCTGTAGGAAAAACATTGATTGTATCACACAGTTATCAGATGGCTTTCCTTTTCTGTGAGTCTTATTGTTTTCCCTGCATGGTGGTGAGAAAAAGCACTGCTCTGTCGTCCCATTAATGAGTGACTTTTTACAAAGTTTGTAGTGTTAGCTTTGATCCAAGCATTATATCAATGCCTGTGATGCTTTTCACTCATGAGTCATGGCTGAAAAAAATCCTAAATGGCAAGTGAATAATCTAGTTTATTGCTGATCAACTCTGTGACCTAAGACCTGTTGTTTCTGTTAAAGGATGGAATGTACAGTGTACCAAATTCCATCACCGCGATGTCTTGTGTTACCATATTCTGCCACCAGAGGGCACTATGGTCAACTGAACTGGGCACTGAACTGTTGGTTTGGACTAATGGGATCTCACAGAACAAGAGGAGTTTGCAATATGAATGCTTTGTACTGGCGTTTTGTGCAGGGAAGCCCTGGGCACATCACTTTACAGGAGAGAACACCAGGTCTGTCTTGGCTCTGACAACTTGGTGGCTGACTCTGAGCAAGCCACTTCCCTTGCTAAGGCTCTTCATGTAAGACGAGAGCTCTGAAACAGATAAACTCTAAACTCACCTCCATTCTAGTTCCATCACCATCTAAATTCACCCAAAAGCAAACTAGTACAAAGTGCCCTTGAAGGCGTTGTGTGCAATTCTATTTTACTTCTTTTCAGCTAAGCTCGTGGTTCTGGGTGTAGTGCTCCGTCGTCTATGCATAATTCTTTTTTCTTTTCTTGGGTGGTTTATTGTATTTCTTTATAAGTTCATTTCTGAATATAGTGTACTTGTCATATCAAAGGAAACTGATTTAGAGTTTGTGCTCGGTTCACATCTAGGGCAAAGAGAAATGCATTTTAGCCTCCTTTATCCTCAGCTTTGGTTTTCTAGGAAACTAAGCTGTGTCACATTTGAAAATTACAGCTCCCCGCCTCTGACAACGAGCTGATTTCTTCTGGATCTGTGGCTAATGTGAGTGGTTCATCATGAACAACTTTGCTTCCAAATAAACTTTTACCCATATCTTGGAATGAAAAATTAAAAAAAGTCAAGCTTCAGGGAAGATAAAGTCTTAAAATCAGATGGTTTCCAGATAATGTCAGAATATGATTGCAAGAAAAATGACATGAAATATACATTAACATAAATCTATAACTGCTCAACTTGATGAAAAATATCATCATAAAATTCTTCCATCACTGAACCAACTGATATGTTTTTTTCTGTGACATTTTGTGAGAATGAATAAATTATCTGAGAATATGTTTGCATCAAAAATATAGAATTTTGTAATAAACACATAAATCATCCAAGTGTTTTCCAGCAAGATGGCTGATCCTAAAACTGGGGGCTTCATATTAATTCCTGTCCCTTTTATTTCCCTTCTCTGTCCACTGCCCTGGACTCAGCTGGTCCTGCACAGCCATGAGTCAAGAGTAGGAGCAGGAGATGTAGACACACTAACTCTTATTGAAGAAGTCTTCTGCATAGCTTCCCCTCCAGTCCCAGCAAGCCTTGACTTCACTGAGATCCTTTCTGCACTCATGGTCTCCTGGAACACTGGGGTCTGCTTTAAAAAGCAGCTATATTTTTGTAGCAATGGTAAATCCCCTATAAATGGTTACATCCCCTATAAAATAGGCAGCACTAATGTGATCCGAGAGCTACATCCTTGTCTCTCTCCCAGGAGAAATTAATATTCCATAAAAGAGTTTGGGTCACTTTTTGCCTAGACTACCAAGAAGCTTAGAGGCAAATTTCAATTCTCATGGAGTTTATTTATTTATTTATTTTTACAGGACTGGGGTTTGAACTCAGGGCTTTGTACTTGCAAAGCAGGTGCTCTACTGCTTGAGCCATACCTCCAATCCATGTTGCTCTGTTTATTTTGGAGATGGGGGTCTCCTGAACTATTGGCCCAGGTTGGCATCAAACCACAATCCTCCTAATCTCAGCCTCCTAAACAGCTGAGATTATAGGCTGTTTAGGAGGTCCAGCTGATTTTCATTGAATTTAGAAACGTATGCCTGAGGATCCTAAATTTTTTCTTTATCTTAATCAGATCTATCTAGATTTTTCCCAGGATTTTAATTTTCTTCTATTTTACTATTCAAGGCTTTATTATCTCCTCTTATAGCTTTAGGAACTGAGGCGGAGTGTAGGTAAATATGTGGATGCATAGATAAACAGACATATTGACACATGGAATAATGGCAGAAGACATTCTGCAGCCAAGGAAGTGAGGGTGGATGTCCAGAGGGGTTGATAAGAAAGACAGCAACCCAAAGTTCATCTCTCGTGTTTCCCTCCCTAGGATGTGTTTCTGAGAGGAAGCCTGCAGAACGTCCAGCTGTCGCCGAGGGCATTTGTGTATCATATAATCCTGGTTTGGCCTGTGATCCCTCTGCACTCCTGACCCTTTGTCTGCTAAGGAGAGTAAAAACACCATCTCTACATACTTCATTTGGTGTTTCTAAGATCGAAGATACATCAGCTAATGGAGTGGAGCTCCAAGTCAAGTGCCTTGCCCAGTTGCCATTCCTAAGGACCCAAGAGGCACTGAGAGGACAGCTGGCCTATGTTCCACTGGGGTTTAGGAGCAGGGAGGAGGGCGACAGACTGTGCAGGCTGCAGATAAGCCATGGACAGGGGAACCGAGGATCCTTCTCGTGTTGTAGGAGCCAGCCTCCTTCCATTAATGCAGCTGAAGTGAGTGGTCATCCAGCCCTGTCCTGCTCTGCATTTGAAGGAAGAAAGCTTGGCTGGAAAGATTAGGAGCCTTGCTTAAGGTCACAGGGCGGGCAGTGGCAGAGCCCAGACTCCTGACTACTGACTCGCTCTGACCACCATGCTTTTTGCTGTGAGCGTCCCTGGTTTCCCCTCCACCATCCTCCTCTCCTTCACCCTGCTGTCTGCATTATGACCCCAGGTAGGTGGCCTTGCCTTCTCACTTCTGCTTGGGTTCGGCCGTTGGGAGTTCAGCACCAGGTCAGAGCGAGGCTGGAGATGAAGGTTATTTAGTCCCTTGGATCCTGTTATGGTTCCACCTTAAATGTCCCCCAATCATGTTTTGAAGGCTTGGTCTCCAGCCTGTAGCACTATTGGGAGGTGGTGGAACCTTTAGAAGGTGGGGCCTTGTGGGGAGAACTTAGGTCATTGGGGGCATGCCCATGAAAGGGATATTGGGACTCTGGTTCCTTCCTGTCTGTCTGTCTCTCTCCCTCTCTCCCCACTTTCTGGCTGCCATGAAAGGAGATTTGCTACACATTTCCCATCCTGACGTTCTGTCTCAACACAGCTACAAACCAGTGGAACCAGGAAGCCAGGGACTGAAACCTCTGAAACCAGAAGCCAAAATAAACCTTTCCTCTTTATAAATTGTTTCCTCAGGGATTTTGTCATAGCAAGGGGAGGCTAACTAATATAGATTTCTCCCTGGGAGGCTGTCCTAGGGTTGGTGGTGCCCCTCCAACCCTCTTCTCAAGGCAGTGCCCCTGTGGTTTTCAGTACCTGTCCCCTCAGCCCCACTGCTGCCTGAATGGTTTCTATACTATGATTCCTTATTCCTCCCTGGCACCCCACACACTTCCATCTTAGTTCCTTTGTGAATAAACTTTCTTAAGTTATCCTAATTTGAGTGTGACATCTGTTTCCTGTTGGGATTCTGTTACACATTCTCATTAAAGACAAGGTAGTGTTAGTAAGCCATTATGGAACACACCATTAGACACACAAAAGGTGAATTCAGTGTGCTTCAGTTATTAGGGAATGTAGCTCACATGACTGTCATCTTTTCCAGTTGGACACTGAGAAGAGTTGGGGCAAAGGGCAGCCAGTGGGAGACCTATAAGGGAATCATTGAATCATTCTGGTTGTCCTTCCTTTGTGCTTCTATCACTAGTGGGATTGATTGCTTCCTTTCAGGCTTATACCTGTATTTTCATCTTCAAATTGAGTTGTTTTGCCTAAAGCTTTAAAACCTGTTTTCATATTAATTAATCAACATTTTAAAATTAGATTTCTGTCTTGTGATCTTTCCAGGTGTAGGCTTGTGGAAATAACATAGTTATGTATTTCATGCAATCCATATGTTTTGAAACAACTCCCTTTGAGTATGCTGCAACATGGAATGAATTTTCACAATTGATTTTCTTTGTCAATAAGGTAAAGCAATAGAAAGGCAGAAGGAATGTGTGACTCTAAGCTTAGTTATTTCCTGGGGGAAATTCAACAGGTCATCTTGTGCAGGATAACCCACAACCACAGACAAACACACTCTTATATTTCAAATGTTTGCGATGTGACTTTACCTTTAAAGTGCTGGCTTTTGAGGTCCTTGGGAATGGGTTTGTCCACCTGTAGAAGACAATGTGGCACCATTATCTCTTAAATTGTGACTATGCGACTGAATGTCCAGCCACTTTGCATCATTAGAGTCCCAAGGATAAATGCACACATCTCTGGACTCGCCGTTCTTAGACTCTGCCTCACCTGCGTGATTGGCAATCAGTAAATATGTGCAAAGTCGAGCACTGCTGCTGGCAAAGGGTGCAGTGGTTCGGGTGCTCCTTACAGAGCACAAAAACGCTTGTGTTGGAAATTCAGTCCTATTTCTTATTGCCCTGCAACTTTGGAAAAGGCTTTTAGCATATTAAGAACATCAGCATTTTCTTCTTTATAATGGGGAAAATACCCTGCCAATTTATGCCTTTGGGCTGTGATGTAGACCAATAGCCAAAACAAGGGACATGGAAGTGACCAAGCTGGCTGAGCAGAATGTGGCCTTGAGTGAACGCCATAGAGGTGATTCCACCCCCTTTACCCATGGCAATGTGAACCACTCAGCCTTCTGAGACTCAATTTCCTCATTTGTGAAATGGAAGTAACAAAGTACTGCTTCCTTGGAAGGAGGGGAATAACGTGGGTCACAGAGTGCAACGCCCCTAGAACGCAAGGCACCATAAGCACTCCCGTAAGTGGAATGACTGAGTCATTATTAATATTTTCAGAGGCATTCGTGGATGGTTAATGGCTGTGTTACAGAAGACATGCGGGTGAATCAGGTGATGCAACTCTCGTTAAGAGGCCCCAGGTCTCTGAAAGCCTTTCAGCCTAGGTCAGTACTGGGGTCTTAGTACTTTTCTTTATTATTGGTGCTGAGTTTGGCTGCCAAAGTGGATGGAAGGAGATGACCTCTCTCACTATTCTCATCTTCAGTGGCCCAGTGTTTGTGCCTGGAAAGAGTGTGACTGTTGTTCTGCTGGCCAGTGTGGTCAGGATTGAGTGCTGGATGGATTTTATTGTGACTTTGTGTTCCTTCATAGAGTCACCAGCTTCCAGTCTCTCCAGGGTTACCTGTGGCTTGGGTGCTGGAGAGGTTTTGGATGTTTTTGTTATAGCCTCTGCTCAGAGTCTCCCCACATGCCTGCCCTACACAGAGCATCTCCCTTAGTGTCCTTCCCACTCTACCCCTGTTGCCAGACTGGTTAGGAAGGCAGGACAGGTACTCTCTTGACTCCATTTTTAAATGGGCCCTGCACACCCCCAGTCTTGGGATGGGGCTTCCTCAGTGCCCCTGCATTTCTCCCCTGGCAGCCAAATGCTGCTTTGTGTCTTGGGTCAGTCTTTTGCATGAGTTTTTGGTGTCTCCTTTGCAACAGGTGCCTTGGATGGTATTAGTACAAGATCCCAGACCCAGGAATATCTCCTGTTCAACCCAGGAGTTTCTCCCATTCTCTATTAATCAAACAAATATTTATCAGTGCCTACTATGTGCCTGCTGGAAGGCTGGACCGTGAGGAATCAAAGAGGAATAGCAGCTTGGACTCAGAGGAGGACTCGGCTGCACCTGCAGGTTTTGCAGGTTCAGCTCTGTAGAGATTTGGGCTGAATCATTTCTTGCTTTGAAGGGCTGTCCTGTGCTCTGGACAATGCTTAGCACCGTCCCTGTCTTTTACTCCTGGATGTCAGTAGTACTGTCCTAGTTGCAACAACTAAAAATGTCTCCTGGGAGGCAGCACCCCCTCTCTGTTGTGAATCACTGATTAAAATGCAGAGGGTTATAGGTGTGAAAGAAGGGTTTAGCAGACAGCACCCTCCAGAAGACTTAGCAGAAGCCATGGGCTGAGCTCTGTGCTCACCTCCATCTCTGTGCTTCATATGACACCGAAACTGCCTACCAGGGCCACTGCCTCTTCTGTTAGACTGTGGGCACCTTTACACTTTCATTGTGATCACAGTGTTTGGTACACACAGTAAGTGCTTAATAAATACAGTAGTCATTTAGAGTGAGACAGTTATAACCAACTAAGGGACTGAGATAAAAAAGAACAGGCCTCTAAGGGTGACTGAAGATCCACCCCACAGAGAGTTCCATCTCAGCATACATGAGAGAACTAATAAGAATCAACCCTCAGAAATGAGGTCGGAATCAAAAAGATATCAATCTGCTTGCCATAAAAACTTGATTATTCATTGATTATCAAAGCAAAACTCTCTCTTTATCTAAATTGAGGCCAAGACATTGTTTAAGTTTGTAAGACAGCTTCCCTCCTGGGGAAGTTTTTCTCAGTGACTTCACTGGACTTAATTTGAGGAGGTTGTAGTTTTGCTTGCAAAGTGATCTGTCCCAAAGGAGAAATTGGTTTTACCAGGAAGCTACAAAGACAATGTGGCCACACAAACAGTATTAAAAATGGATGCTTAGACTCTGCCACAATTGTTATTAAAAAATCAAGTGAGGATTATTTTTTCCAAAAAAAAAAAAAACCCACTTCTATCCACGAAGTTTTCCTTACACATACGGGGGGCAGGTTATCAGTGAGTTTTAGGGGAAGGAAAGCTCAAACCACCAGCTGAGCATTCTCCTCTCCTTATAACTCTTCAGCTCCATCACTCCTTCCCTGGACAGGCTTTCTGCCCCTAGGGCAGTGCCCTGAAATGCCTTCCTCCCTGTCACACAGCCCCCCTAGCCCCTGGCAGGCTGCACCAGGTGCAGCTCTTGGTGATGGTAGAAAATAGTAAAGCAGGAGAAGGCTGAAGGCCAGTCTGAAGAAGAGCTCTGTGTGTGAACAGACATGGAGCTGGGGAGAGGCTCGGTGCTTCTTTCTATGAAATGACTCTCCCGTTTTCAAGGTGACTGACAGGTTGTTCATTTCCATCCATTAATCAGTATCTACCGAGAACTACTTTCTTAAAGGCACACGTGCTGGGGCTACAATAATCCCTGACCTTGCAAAGATGTCATGTACTGATTGCTTTGTCACCCACAGTGCTCTCTATGCATTCTTACAACAGCCACAAGGCCTGATAGTAAGAGAAGAAAAACCCAGGGAGAGGAGTAAGCAGACTAAGGCATAGGGCAGGTGTTACAATGGGGATGGATGGCTGTGTTCCTCTTACAAGAATATTTTAAGGATTAAGTGTCATTCGTTTGTTTAGTCCATTCTCTACAGAGAAAGCTTTTCCTTGACCTCCCTTATCCTGCTTTCATTATTTTTCTAAATCAAGTCTCATTTGCCATATTCTCTATTCTTTATTTATTTATAATGGGTTTCTTCCCGATGGCGTGTAGCCTTCTCTGTAGGGCAGGGAATTGGATTTTCACTGAATTGTCCCCAGAGTCTATAACTGTGTCTGACCCTGGTGGGCCCTGAAGACACGGTGAACTTGTGAAGACTTGAGCGAACTTGTTGAGTGACTGGAGTGTTCAACTGGGAGCGAGTGTAGGAGAGTGTACTGTTTCATGGCTCTTCTGGTTCTCTGTGAATGGCATTGCTTGGTAAAATTTGTTCTTTCCTTTCCTTACCTGCTATGGTTAGAATGCTTGTCTGTTCCAAAACTCATGTTGAAATTTCCTTGCCATTGTGACGGTACTAAGAGGTGATGAAGCCATGGGTATTTCACTCCCATGAGTGAATGGATTAATGCCATTATTTTCAGAGGGGGGTTGTTATGATGGGAGTGGGTTTGTTATAAAAGTGTGACTGACTTTGGGTCCCTCCCTCCACCTTCCTTCCTCTCTCCTATTCTCTTTGTCCGTCTGCCATGTTGTAATGCAGAAAGAGAGCCATTCCCCAATGCTGGCAACTTGAACTTGGACTTACATGTCTCCAGGATTGTGGGAAACAAATTCTGTTCATTATAAATTACCCAGTCTCAGCTATTCTGTTACAGCAGCACGAGCTAGGCTAAGATATTGTCAATATTAACAGAAGTCCTCTAGTCAAATAAACGCTGTGCACATACAATACACAAACAACAATGCAAACATTCAAAAGCATGCTCACACCCACTAGTAAGTAGGTCCAAACTAAAAAAAAAAAAAGGTAAAATCTTCCCTTTTATTAAAAAATTTAGACTAAAAGAGTAAAATCCAGTTCTGATAAGAGTTCTATGAGTGGGACATCCCCATGTGGGGCTTCCGAGAGGAGAAATTGAAGCAATTTTTCAAGACAGAAATTTTACAATGTGAACCCTTAACCTTTAAAATGTTTCTGTCCAATGGTTAAGTAAAATAATTAAAAATTCTGTATGGGAGGTATGGATAACTATAAAAATTCTCATTCTAAATTCTAAATTATTACATGGGAAATTATTTTGTAAACAGAACTCATTGTGAAAAAGAAGAGCAGGGATATATATAGTATAAAACCAGGATTCTTTTGCATGGAATATATTTGCATAGGAAATACTGGTGTGAAATGCATCAGAAATGTTATGATCAGTAACCCTGCAGTCTCCGGGGTGATTAATCTTTATTTTATGCATTTCTCCATTAAGAAAATTAAACACTAGACAACATTTTATTAAAAATGAAAACCGATTTATGTGTTTAGAGCATTTTCACCTACAAAATACTCTTATAAAATATCTGTTGTAGCCAGATGCTGGTGGCTCATGCCTGTAATCCTAGCTACTTGGGAGGTTGAGATTGGGAGAATTACAGTTTGAAGCCAACAGGCCGAGGAAAATAGTTTGTGAGACTCCCATCTCCAAAAATAACCAGAGCAAAATGTACTGGAGACATGGCTGAAGCAGTAGAGCACCTGTTTTCAAGCAGGAAGTTCTGAGTTCAAATGCCAATCCCACTTAAAAAAATAAAGAAAGAAAGAAAAGAAATCTGTTGTAGCCTCCCAACAGCCTTTTGAACTCAGCGTGGTTGGATTTTCATTCCTGTGTTGTAGCTGAGTTTCCAGAGGCTCAGAAGGCTGTGTGTTACCCATGCTGGGCTCTGGGCCAAAGGATACATTTTTCGGATTGGGCAAAATGATTTATTTTATCAGAAAGAATCTGGGAAACAAGATATATTTTATCAGAAAGATTTGAGTTTAGATTTTGACTGAAAAATGCAGTGAGCATTTGATAAGATGGCTGTGAAAGTCTTTAGCTTGATGCCTGGCTCACAGAACATCTTGAATAAGTGTTTCTTCTCCTTCCTCTAGACTCTTCCACAGGACCCAGCTGACTACCAGTCAGGTGAGTCAGCTCCCTGGACCTTGCTGAGCTTGACCTGCTCATCAGCAGACATGATACCTTGGGGAAGAAGAGCGGGAACAACTCCCTGTAGGTCATGAAGAACCCTACCCCTGACTGGTTGTCAGGGCCCAGCGTTTACTCACTGCTTCCCGCCTCATTTGCAGGTTCCAGGTTTGCTCCTCACAGGAGATGGAGGACTTGGGATGTAACAGAAGGGAAGTATCCATCACGCCCTTGAAATAGCGCGTATCTGTACAAAAAGAAAGCTATTAAACTCGTACATCACGTGGATGAGCAGACTAAAATCTACCAACTCTCCACATGTCTACAATCCCATCTAATCACCATGGTGCAGGTATAAACCTGTGTTTAACAGCTGAGGAACCTCAGGTGCAAAGAGGAAAATTATTGCACCTGGTTCACATGAATCCACATCTACCTTTGGCCTTGATCATCCCTCATTTTCTCATCCACCGAGAAATTCTGCTAGCCCTCAAAGATTTGAGCTATGCCACACCATTTAAAATCTTCCCAAGGCCACACCACCAACACCCACCCTCACTCTCCTCCTCACACACTTGTCATGTTCTATCACATTTCTCTGATTATCTCTCTGTTTCTGTCACTAGATTGAAAGCTCCCTGAGGGGATGGGCTATGCTTTCCTTGTCCTATGTCCCCTGGTCAATTCTAAAATGGTGACTGACACAACATAGGTATTAAGTAAATGAATGAAAAATTATCATTATTATTTACAAGGTGATTCCCTCTAAAGAAAGTTCTGTAGGTTCCTTTCAGTGGGCCAGACCCTCAGAAATCACGCATCCTTCCTCTTTTCTTTTACAATGGTGTGTGCTATCTAAAGTTCAGAGAACCTGCTGACACTGTCCTGTGTGCCCAGGTGGGAAAAGGCAAGCTGGGTGGGCAGCTAGGTCTCTCCCTACTAATAAGTGACTTTTCTCCTATGTCTTGAACCACTCATTGCTAGTTACTACAAAATCAATCAAGTGAGATGAAAGTCTTCCCTGTACTAAACTCTTCTACCATGCAGATCTGGAGTAAGTCCTAATATTAGGAGCTCTATAATCAGACAAAGTGAGTTTTAGAGACTTGTTCAAAGTTACAAGGTTAGTAAGTCGTGGAGGCAGGATTTTAACCTAGAGTGCTCAATTCAGACATTGCAGCATGGACACACGACTTCAGATTTTAGGCAAACCCTCAATGTTACCTGCATATTCAGATTCCTTTATAGGCCTGGCTGGTAAAATTTTCATGGATGTCCACGCCTCTGCTAGCTGAAGCTCGGGGTCTTCATAGTCGTCATCACTATGGCATTTTGCTCCATCCAGGACTGCAGTGAAGTTCCTTTTCTAAGCGGGTGGCACATTGGAGTGAGTCAAAGGAAGGGGCAAAGGTCACTGGCTGTGGCATCAGCTCTGGGAGTGATAACTCTTGACTTAAGAGTTGGGTCTAGGATCTTAATCACAAGTTTAATTCTTGTGATAGGCAGAATTCTAAAGATGATTCCAAAACATTCTCATCTCTGATTAGTCAACCAAATACCCACCTACGCACTGTATGGGGGACATGCAGATGTAAATAAGGCTATTAATCAGTTGACTTTAAAACAAGGAGGTGATCTTGGATTTCCTGAGTGAATGCTTAAAGTAGAAAGGGTGCCTGTGTATTAGTGCAATAATCTTATAGATAGAAAATACAAAGAATCCATTAAAAAACTATTAGAATTTAGAACTAATAAAAGATTAGGCAAGGTGCCAGAATATATAGTCAATCCTGTACAAAATTCAGTTTACTTGTATACATTAATAATAACAATTTGTTTTTTATAAAAAAAAACACTAGTAACAATTTGAAAATAAAAATTAAGAAAATAATGGCAAGTCAGGTGTGGTGGTTCATGCCTGTAATCCCAGCGCTTGGGAGGCTAAGACAGGAGGACTGAGATTTCAAAGCCAGCCTCGGGAAAAAGAAAGGAAGAAAGGAAGGAAGGAAGGAAGGAAGGAAGGGATATTAACCATAGTATCAAAAAGAATAAAATACCTAAAAGTAAATAATTAAACAAAAGAAATGCAAAACTTGTACACTAAAAACTGCACACACCTTGTTGGAAGTAATTTAAAAAGAACTTAGTAAGTGAAAAGACACTCCCTGTGTGTGGATTAAGGACTTAATGTTGCTAAGATAAGAATACTTCACAAATTGATACACAGATTCAACAGAATCCATATCAAAATCTCAGCTGCCTTTTTCTTCAGTTTTTGCAGAAATTGACAAGAAAAGCTAAAGCTAAAAAGTTAAAGTTCCTATAAAAACATTCTCTTCCTCCACCATATTTATACTGGAGAAAGATCACATGAGCCCAAGAGCAAGAAGGCAGACAGCTGTAATCCAAAGGCAGGGTCCTCATCTCTTGATTTCAGGGACTGTGAGAAGGCAAATGCCTGTTGTTTGAGCCACTCAGGCTATGGAATTTTTTTGTGGCAATCCAAGCAAACTAACATAGGCAGTTATCAAGGGACCTGGGGTTAAACCCGGAATGGCAGGAATGGGTACCAATCTTCAAGAAATATACCATTGAATGGGGTCATTGATTCTGTGCCCACAGAGACCAGGGATTGCTACCATGAATTCCACCTCCTTGGTCTTGTCTTAGGAGGAAGGATGGGCCAGGATGTGGAAGTTCTTGGTTGTGAAACCAGGTGAGACTGGCTTGGTAATGGCATGGCTTTGTAGCCACTCTGTCCTGGTCCTAAATTATGGGTCCACTTTCTAACCAGTGGGAGGCCATGTCACCTCTCTGCCTCAGATGCTAAATCTGTACATTGGGGATGGCTAAGCCTACTTTATTTGGTCATTGCCAGAGGGTAACTATGAAAACACATAAAGGATCTTGGCATCTGCCCTATGATAGGGGCTCAGGGCATGTTAGCTCACTTCCTGCTGGTTGATGCACTGAGCAAGGCAGAGAGAGGTGTCCAGGGCTAAGCATAGCTGGCAGGCTCTGGCTTCCAGGAGGTTCCCAACACACACAGAAGACGAGGGTATGGAACTGGGTTCCAGAGCTCTATCCAGAAGTGAGTTCTGAGCTGGAGCACAGGCAGGGGCTCCACTGGGGGGTTGACAGAGGGACATTTGCTTTTGTGTTTTGTTATAGCAACTGCCAGTACTCCCCATGGTGCAAACTCTTTGCCTGCTAGAAGAACTGAGGATGTGAGCTGGAGCCTGTTTTCTATCTGGTCCAGACAGTGTGCAGCAGTGTTTTGCCCCCTGGAGTGAATATAATTTGTTTTATGCAGTGGGGGAGGAGAGAGAGAGAGACAGAGAGAGAGAGAGAAATGCATGCTTTAAATGTGAGTGATATCTCTCTATTTTCGGTTAGTCTCAGGGGTTCTTATCTACAGGCCCAATATTTACTACTCAAGAGTTAAATATTGTGTACCTAAGTAAGGGTCCATGGCTTTAATTAAAATTTTAAAGAGGTACTTCAACTAGTAATAAATCAATGATTTTACAGGAATATTCTATCAATCTGTTATCAATCTATCAATCTATCATAAACTATACATATATAAACTATTTAAATTTTATGCATATATGTTTTAACAATATAATTACTTCCTAGATATTTGAGTTAATATAAATTTTAATCTTTTTCTTTAGCTATTAAAATTTTTTCCAAATATTTCACATAGACTCAAAAGACCATAGCATATTGAACTATTTCTGTGTTATTGACTATTTAGCATGGTTCCAATATGCTGTCATTTAAAATACATTATTACCACTTATCACTGCATGTTTAAATAGTAGTCTGAAATTTAGGCTAATTCCTTAGGTTAAACTCCCAAATGTGAAATTATTGGTCCAAAAAATGGATATTTTTGTATGCATTACCTTCCAGAAAGTTTGTTTCAAGGTGAGATTTTGCCATGAGTGTTATGAAGTATCTTAGTCATATACACTTGCCAGCACCATGTGTTGGTATTTTTACCTGTTTTAGTTTCCACACTGACTGTGTGCATTAATTTTGTCTCCATCTTATAGCTGGGGAATTGGAATACAGTTTTATACCAAGATCCACTTGCTTTGTAAGTACCAAAGACTGACACACTAGTTAAGGGAAGCAGCTGACTTACATGATCGAGGTGGGGAAGAGGCTGGTTAATGGTCTGGTACTGGCCTGTCAACGAAAACATGTCACATGTCATTGAAATCCCCGTGGTTGCTGAAAACATTGAAAAGCCTGGGCCCTTGTTTTTCCCTAGAAATCTTGTGTTTGTTGCAATTAACTTTTTGTGACTGTATTTTTCAGAACCTAAGCATTCATTTCCATTTGTCTCAATCTATCTGTTGCTCTTGCAAAACAGGCATGGAAGAGGAGGAAAGGAAAGGAAACTCATACCCAGTGGTAACTATGGAGGTAGGAAGGCTCACTCTTCCCACAGCAGAGTAAAATTTGTAAGGCTAGAAAATGCCCCAGCAACTGCTCCCCAAGTTTTTACTCAACAGCTAGAGACCCCACACTGCTTGGCATGTTGTATTCACAAAACTCTTGTCCATGAGCCTGTCTCCTCCAAGGTCTGTAAGTATTTTGAGGACAAGACTCAGATCTATTCATTCAGCCATCTCTACCTCCAGGCATATGTCCTAACATCCAGAAATTGAGCCATTGATTTTTTTTATTGTTGTGCTGAATGGGGGTACATTGTGGCATTTACAAAGGTTCTTACAATGTATCAAATATGTCATACTTTAATTACTCCCTCCACTGCTCTCCCCCATCCTCCCTCCCTTGATTCCTGGAACAGTTTCAACAGGTTTCGTTTTTGCATTTACATATATTATTTGCATACACATTCACACTTGTTCATCCTCCTACCCCTTTTCTTTCCACCTCTTCTCTCCCACTGGTGCCAACCCCCCCTGCAGCAGAACCTGTTCTGCCCTCCTGTTCTCTGATTTTGTAGAAGAAAAAAACAAAAGATAAAAAGAGAAACATGTTATTTTTGCTAGTTTGAGATAAGGATAGCTACACAGAGAGTTTCCTTGTGTTGTTTCCATGCATATATGTATTACAACCCCATTGGTTTTTCATCAGTGTTTGGGAAGAAGCCTCAGTCCAGGTTTCTTCACTCTTCACTCCCTCACTTGGACTCTTTTTTTTAAAATGAAACATGGCCTGAGGTCATGGTAGCATTGAATATTTTGTTTTAAAATTTACTTTCAGATTATGCAAAACCATACAAGAACTGCTCAGATGACTGACTGGATTTTTTGGCTCCTCAGAGACTTCATTTCCCTAAAGTGACATCTTAGTTTTGTATTGCTACAGCATTAAATGCAGGAAATGTTCTTATCACATTCTCTTTATTAGCACGTGCATGAGAAGTTTCCTGCTGGCTTCAGGACCAGAAACTGAGAGTTTCTTAACCGTTGGTTCACTATGAATTAATGGAAAATATTATTTCTGGAAAAAAAATCATATTTCCTTTCTTCCTTTGGCTGCTAACTGGACTTTGTCCAGTTGTTGAAGAGCAGTATGGCACGGCCCTTTTCTAAATCTTGCCCCAGCTGTTATTTTCTTAAACCTTTGTCCTTTTGCCCTGGGTTCCCTCACCATACCAAAGTATAAAGTAAATAGTGTGGATTTATCAGCACATCCACCTCTTTTGTAAGGTGGTGACTCAGAGTGTGGCTCTGAGAACTATGGAAACACAGTTCTTTGGAATTTGCCTAGGACTAGTGTGTAGGGCAAGTGTTAACTATCCCCAGCTGATTTCCTTGAAATAATGAGCCAGGAGGGCCAGAATCCTGTGTGCACCTTCCTGTCCCTCCCCTCTCTGGTGAGGGATGACTCCCTGGGATAGAATGGCACCTTTCTACCCCAGAGTCCCAGCGCTGGGCAGAGGTTCTGCCTCACCTAAGATCTCTGGCAGAAAGAACCCAATAAGCCCACAAGAATAATTTAAAAGAAGAAATACTACAGGTACTCAATGAGAATTTTATAGAGATGATACTGGATATGGTCAACCAAAATGTACAGGAGACACTCAAGAAATTCCAAGACAACAAAAACAGAGAATTTGAAAAAGCAAAAGAAGAAATAAAGGAAACCATAGAAGCACTGTATAAACACCAAAGTGAAACAGAGAACACGATTAATAAAGAGATAAATGAACTCAGGACAAAAATAGACAACAATAAAGAAGAAAACTGCCAGGATATGGAAAACCTCAGAAAAAAGAACGAAACAGAATTGCAAAACAAAATGGAAGGCCAATCCAGCAGAATAGAACAAACAGAAGACAGAATCTCAGAACTTGAAGATGAAATGGTAATTAAAGGAAAAACCGAAGAACTATTAATTGAACAGCTCAAGACCTGTGAAAAGAAAATGCAAGAACTCACCGACTCCATCAAAAGACCAAACTTGAGAATCATGGGCATCGAAGAAGGAGAAGAGGTGCAAGCAAAGGGAATGCGTAATATATTCAACAAAATAATAACAGAAAATTTCCCAAATCTAGAGAAAGATATTCCCATACAGATGCAAGAGGCCTCCAGGACACCAAACAGACCAGATCAAAATAAAACTATCCCACGACATATCATCATTAAAACAACAAGTTCAGAAACTAAGGAAAGAATATTGAAGGCTGTAAGAGAGAAAAAACAAATAACATACAAAGGTAAACCCATCAAAATCACAGCAGACTTCTCAACAGAAACATTAAAAGCAAGAAGAGTGTGGTGTGAGATCTTCCGGGCACTGAATGAAAATAACTTCAACCCCAGGATACTCTACCCAGCAAAACTATCATTCAAAATAGATGGAGCAATAAAAGTCTTCCATGATAAGCAGAAACTAAAACAATATGTGACCACAAAGCCACCACTACAAAGGATTCTTCAAGGGATTCTGCACACAGAAAGTGAAACCCAACTTAACCATGAAAAGACAGGCAGCACCAAACCACAGGAAAAGAAAAAGCAAGACAGTAGAGAGTAACCTCAACTTAGGTACACACAATCAAACCTTCAAACAACTAAGACAACTAAATGACAGGAATCACCACATACCTATCAGTACTAACACTTAATGTTAATGGACTTAATTCACCCATCAAAAGGCACCGCTTAATGAAATGGATTAAAAAGGAAGATCCAACAATTTGTTGCTTACAGGAGACTCATCTCACGACAGAAATAAGCATAGGCTTAGGATGAAAGGCTGGAAGAAGATTTACCAAGCCAATGGCCCCCGAAAACAGGCAGGAGTAGCAATACTTATCTCTGACAAAGTAGACTTCAAACCTACATTGATCAAACGAGATAAAGAAGGACATTCCATACTAAAAAAGGGGAAATAGACCAAAAGGAAATAATAATTATCAACCTATATGCACCCAATGTCAATGCACCCAATTTCATCAAACATACCCTGAAAGACCTAAAAGCATATATTAACTCCAACACAGTGGTTGTGGGAGACTTTAATGCCCCATTATCATCAATAGATAGGTCATACAAACAAAAAATCAATAAAGAAATCCAAGATCTAAAATATACAATAGATCAAATGGACCTAGAAGATGTCTACAGAACATTTCATCCAACTTCTACACAATATACACTTTTCTCAGCAGCCCATAGAATCTTCTCTAAAATAGATCATATCGTACAGCACAAAGCAAGCCTCAGCAAACATAAGAAAATAGAAATTATACCATGCATACTATCTGATCACAATGCAGTAAAAGTAGAACTCAACAACAAAAGTAAAGACAAAAAACATGCAAACAGCTGGAAACTAAATAACTCATTACTTAATGAACAATGGATCATTGATGAAATAAAAAAGGAAATTAAAAAGTTCCTGGAAGTCAATGAAAATGAAAACACAACCTACCGGAACCTATGGGACACAACAAAGGAAGTCCTGAGAGGAAAGTTTATAGCCATGAGTGCATATATTAAAAAGACTGAAAGATCCCAAATCAATGACCTAATGATACATCTCAAACTCCTAGAAAAACAAGAACAAGCAAATCCCAAAACAAATAGGAGAGAAATAATAAAAATAAGAGCTGAAATCAATGAAATAGAAACCAAAAAACCATACAAAGAATTAATGAAACAAAAAGTTGGTTCTTTGAAAAAATAAACAAGATCGATAGACCCCTGGCAAACCTGACTAAAATGAGGAGAGAAAAAACCCAAATTAGTAGAATCAGGAATGCAAAAGGGGAGATAACAACAAACACCATGGAAGTCCAGGAAATCATCAGAGACTACTTTGAGAACCTATATTCAAATAAATTTGAAAATCTTAAAGAAATGGACAGATTTCTAGATACATATGATCATCCAAAACTGAACCAAGAGGAAATTAATCACCTGAATAGATCTATAACACAAAATGAAATTGAAGCAGCAATCAAGAGTCTCCCCAAAAAGAAAAGTCCAGGACCTGATGGATTCTCTGCTGAATTCTATCAGACCTTTAAAGAAGAACTGATACCAACCCTCCTTAAACTGTTCCATGAAATAGAAAGGGAAGGAAAACTGCCAAACACATTTTATGAAGCCAGTATTACACTTATCCCAAAACCAGGCAAAGACACCTCCAAAAAGGAGAACTATAGGCCAATCTCCTTAATGAACATTGATGCAAAAATCCTCAACAAAATAATGGCAAACCGAATTCACAACACATCAAAAAGATTATTCACCACGACCAAGTAGGCTTCATCCCAGGATGCAGGGGTGGTTCAACATACGAAAATCAATAAACGTAATAAACCACATTAACAGAAGCAAAGACAAAAACCACTTGATCATCTCAATAGATGCAGAAAAAGCCTTTGATAAGATCCAACACCATTTCATGATAAAAGCTCTAAGAAAACTAGGAATAGAAGGAAAGTACCTCAACATTATAAAAGCTATATATGACAAACCTACAGCCAGCATTATACTTAACGGAGAAAAACTGAAACCATTCCCTCTAAAATCAGGAACCAGACAAGGATGCCCACTATCTCCACTCCTATTCAACATAGTACTGGAATTCCTAGCCAGAGCAATTAGGCAAGAAGAAGGAATAAAAGGAATACAAATAGGTAAAGAAACTGTCAAAATATCCCTATTTGCAGATGACATGATCCTATACCTTAAAGA